ACAGACTGACAATAAAAACAAAAGTCGCAATATGCAGACTTAGCGTTTTGAGATATGTTCTAGACGTAACAAGACTACCGCGTGTGTATTTGACCTTGTTACCTGAGGAGTGCCGATCACGTTTACAGACCAACTCAACTCCCTCACGTCTAAACACTGCGGCGGCGTTTCACTTCACCCGAACCTTCACCCGACGTTTCTCTTCACCTTAACCTTCACCCGAACTTCACCCGAACTTCACCCGACGTTTCACTTCACCCGAATCAGGTTTCTGCACATCCACGGTGCCCACACCTGATGTGGGCAAGTGCGGGCTTGTTTGTAAACACCGCGTCGTTTTATATCAATCAATCCATTTTGTTTTCTTTCGCAGAGAAAGACGGTAGCTTGGACAAAAATCTGCAACAAGTGCAGCTTGAAAAGGCATGTATGTATGACAAGACATGCATGGAAGTAGTTGAGAAAATGATTGCGCCAAAAATATTTTCCACGCTTCATAATGCCGACTTAAGACCAGAGAGCACAGAAAAACTACCGCCTCACGGAAATTGACGTCACATGACAAAGTCACATGAAGTTGTCATGGGTCGCCAATCTCCTGGCTAGATTAAGTGGGGTAATTGACGTCACTCGGTACCTCTTCTCCGCTAAATATAGCGGAAAAATTGACGTGATAATTGTGGCTGTTGTTTTTTATGACTTTTTTTTTGCGAAAGTTCTTCGTGACTTTTTTTTTTTTGTACAGTTGGGCTGATAAAACGCAATCTGCGTTAAAATGCTACGTTCCCAAAATTGATATTAGCACTCAGACAACACTGTATGAGCGAAAGTCGATCACATTATACATCCCTGACGGTCATACTTTGTGGAAACAAAACTTTTTTTTTTGAGCCTCGTAAATTTCACACACGAAAGAGGTTTATGAGGCGAATGGGCGTTTACGTAACAGAAGAATATATTAGCAAGTCCAAAACCCACTCACAGCATCGAAAGCACTTTCCTTGGTTTGACACGTTTACTGCACTGTAATGTAAACCGCGTGTAGGCTCCGGAATGTTTTTTTTTTTCGTTTTAACTAGTTTTTTTAACGTTTTTAGAAGTGTTCTTTTGCCTCTATCATAATATTGATGGTTCATTTTTTTGCTTGGCATATTAAGTAGTAGCAAGCTGAACACGAATTTAAAACAGTCGTTTCTCAAATGTCAGAGAACAGCTTTCAGAAAATAAAAATAATATTACCTCCGATAATGCTGAAGGTACCTGATAAACGAAGCTATGGACTTCAATATATTACTCGGTCTATTCGCAAACACTTAAGAAGCGGATTTCACGACTAAATAAGCTATTTATTCATAAAAATGATCTTACTTCTAGCCATCCCGAGCAGACCACAATAAAATATCATCCGAGTCCAATTTTTTTTTTTTTTCAGTGGTTATTTTGAGTGTTTTTAAACACTGACTTCTCCTTGGGAGTATTCCGCTAAATTTATGTATTATGAATGAGTGATAAACATTGCGTTTAATGTTAATCAATCATAATTTAAAATTAGGTCGTTGCCATCCTTAGTTAGTTCGAATCATGCAATCAATTAGAAGTGGCTTTCTCCATTCACCAAAATCTCTTTTATAACATCAATTAATCATCTAGAAAACAGGAATGCGGCGCGCGGAATGCCACACGCCGATTTTATTTGACCAGCGAAGCGGAGAATTTCATTTATTGCCTTCTAATTATCCGCACGTATCTCCATAATTGCTTCAGTAGGCTACTTAGCGAACGTTACCCGATACGACACAACACACGTTTTGTGTGTATCTCTGTGTGGGGCGGGCGTTGAAGTAATCGACAGTGGTCGGTATAAGTGTTAAGGACTCACTTTATTTATTTGCGTTTACTTGTTTCATTAATCACTTCACCGAGCTTGTAACCATGCCCTTGTTACTTCATTTATTTTTCTTATATCCTCCCCCTAACAGTTTTAGTTGTTGTTTTTATTTCCTTTCTTAATGGCGACAAAAAGGAAGCCATTGGGTCACCCCGAAACGGGACCCATTAAACTCCCCCCCCCCCCCTCCCCGTCCAATGATGAATGGTGATAAAATTACTGGGGCGATATCGTTAATCGATAAAAAGCGTCATCAATCTCTCCGGTATCTCTCGCGCAACGTGCCGCACGTCTAGTTATACCCATTTTATTAGCCGGGGATCAACGGCCGTGTCCGCATTTATTGTGATCAACGAGTTCACGCATGTTCGTAATGTTCAACGTGACGGCGATAACCTATTTTGCTGGGTTCAATAACTCGACGCTATCGAGAAACTAGACATTAAGACACTTTAAACGTATACACTTTTAAAATAAAAAAAAAATGAAAATGTCTGTAAGTTTACTTTTCTGCAGAACACGTAGGCAGTCAACGACGTTGAACAATAAAAAGATACCAGCGAATCTCGAAGGTCAAATTACGATGCTTATATTCAATGTTATTGGCCGCTTTCGTGGTGAGCACAAAAGGGAATTGACACACTTTTTTTACTTTTATTTTATACACTCTAAGAGGCCTTCCGTAGATTGCAGAGATTTTCTCTTTAAACCTAGTAGTAGATTCAGTTCTGTTAAGGTCCTTAAGATGTCCTAAGGTTCTAGGGATGTCCTTCGGACGTTCGTGGGACATTCGTGCTGCTTGGGGAATTGCTCTGCGGGAGGTGCAGGCGTTCCAGATTCCTTTCAATGTATACAATTTCCCGCAAGGCATTTGGGGATGATGACCAATCGCCGGAATCTATAAGAGGGAAAGCGCGGCGGATGATGAGGTTGAAAATAGGTTTTAGACCTAAATAAACGGAAAGAACCCGCCTGGCGTGCCATGCCATTGAGCAGGATGCAAGCACATGAAATTCGTACTTAAAATCACAGCACAGATTTTTTTTTCTTTTTTTTTTAGGTCTAAAGTTATTTTCAGAACCGCTATTCGCCGAGTTGTCTTTGTTCGTTGAAGCGATTGGCTCTCCAAGATGTTTTGCGGGGAAGTATACGCCTCGAGGTTCTTAGAGTGCATGAAAAATGAACGTCAAGAACGTCCGAATCTACACCTTGCGGATGTGTTTCAGCTTATGATTGCTTAATTAGTTTTCTTACTCGGGTGTTATGACTGTATTACCTATTCAGACACTTACAAAACGAGAATGTCAATCTTTCAGTGAAATATTTCCTTCGCTGGTAAAAGGCCCGTTTATATTTGGATTACTAAAACTGCCACAACAACACCACCTTATGAAAAAAAAGTAAAACAGGACACTTGCGATTGTTGGGAAGCATGTTACAGGTTTAATAATGTGCGCCTAGAATCTTTCAGCGGAGTATAAACTTCGGCTTTGGTCACTGGAAGCCTCAGGAACCCAGGAGATGGATTATATAATATACAAATGTAAGACCGTCTTGCTTCGTGGTTCGTTCTTTCGCTTACTTGTCGGCTAGGGAACCAAATCTCGTTGCCTGCGAAGCGATAACAGTACGCTTGGGACTCAACACAGCCAGCGTTTCTGAATTAGTGGGTGACCGCTCGTTGGTCGGATGTGCCAAGGAAGGCGGAAAGCCGCAGTGAACAAACACCACTGGAAGTGAGCAGACAGTATGTCCTGCGGAACATACTGTCGTCGCGCCCTTTTGCATTTCAAGCTCTCGTCACTGCCACGAGTGTTTCTTTCGTAATATCGCAGTTCACTCTGTACTAAAAAATAACTATAATCTGCCGCGACCTGATATGACTTAGCGTATTCCGAGAAGCGACGTCCGTTGCTTAGGCTTGATTTTGACCACTTGCTCTGCCTTATTACTCCCTCTGCTGATACAAAGGACGTTCGAGCCTTTGATCAAGAAGCTCGACCTTTTTCCTTTATATATATATATATATAGGTGTGTTACTTAAAAAGTGCAAATATCTTGTTTTTGCATTAATAAGACTCACCCGAGTCTTATGGCACTGGGTTATAAAAGGCAATGAAAACTGAATGATTACTCTTCTCGCAGATGTCACGTAACTTTACCAAGGCAAGCATACGTCTCCAGATGCGCGGTTTCACCTCGTGATTGTTAAAATGCTCAGCTACAAAGATATAATTGCTTAAATTGAAATCACCAGGTTTCATAGTTTCATCAAAGCTGTGTGTGTGTGTTTTTTTTCTTAAATTGTATTTGTTTAATAAAGTTTGTATGATTCAAAACACATTGCGAGATTCGACTTTTTGTAACATACAAAAGAAAACTTCCGCAACAAAAGTTTAGCACCGTAACACCTGAATTAAATTTGTCATTACACCTCCATTATTTGTCGTGTAAACTACTTTTTATGAATTCTTCACGAAGTAGTATTAAATAAAGCAAGAGGATGCGACTTCCAAACTCTTCCTCTTCTTCTAGCATGGCATAGTACACGTTTTACACACAAAAAAAATAATCACTGCCTAAAGTGAAAGCAGTAAAATGCATACACCCGTGAACTGCTTGTAACTTGCTTGCTGCCAGGAGATCTCTACGTAACTTCCTAGCTGTAAAAAAATGAACAGTCATGCTGAAAATTTACTTCCCTACTCCTATATTGTCTCGTCTTGCTTCTCCGCTCATTTTTTTTTGTTGTATTCTATGAGAGATCATTAATAACTAAGTATATTTAAAGCCCCATTCGTAGTAGGCTATTGTGCAAAATAGTTGCTCAAGTTCTGAAACTTGGTTTAGTCAAGGTAGAGCCCCTGAAACCAGAGAGGGTCGCGTTTGACGTGGAGCCATTAACTATTTGCATGCGTGTACCTTAATATTGTTAACTTCCAGTAATTCTATTTAGACTTGACGTCACGTTGCATAGATGTCCGACTATATATAGCTCTCACTATACTTTCTTTGATGCTAACCTATGCCTACGAATTAGAGAAAAATTTTCTGGTGACAGAAGAGGTCCAAGTTTAAAAAATAGGGCGAGGTAGAGAGAATGTCAACTTACAGCCGTATGCATCTCCTACCAAGAGTCACCCCTGACGACGGAAAAAAAGTCCCAAGGTCTTCACACTCCACTCCAGGCAAGCAAGACGGGCGTCACTCGCCAAGTCCAAGGAACGCCGCAAGTCGTCGACGACAAGAACAGCGCACGAAGCCCACAGTCAAGAAGCGCCAGAGCAACAAAACCAAACACGGGGTTCGTAGGTCCGAGGTTCGCACACAGTCTCGGGCGCGAGGGACGGTTCACAGTTCTTCAAAGAGGAGAAACGGCAGGCTCGGCGAGGTGCGGCGACGTCCTCCGGCAGAAGCACACTCGGGTTCCAGAAGGTCCAGGAACGGGCGCCGAAGAGGTGTTACCTGGTCGCCCTCCAAATTTCGACTGCGGGCAGCAGGCAAGAGCTCCTCTCGGCATCCACGGGGATCAATGCCGGCCCGTGCAACTATTTCACCATGAACTTGTTCTAGATTTTATACGACGGGCGGGCTCCCGCGGAGAGGAGGACTAGTCATGACCTCGTTTCCTCGTCTGGGCCGTCTTGCTTCCCCTTCGCCCTGTCCGTTCCTCGCGCGTGCTGCCGTGCCGCCTTGGCTTTGGAACTTGGCGTGTCGTGTTCTGGGATGCCACGAACCTTGTGGCTGGCCGGCCCGGCCGGCCGTCTCCGACGATGCTGCCGCAACAGAAAGGCCGTTGTTGATCCGGGCTGTTTTTTTTTATTTTTATTTTTGTGTGTGTGGTTTGGTTGCTTCGCTTTTGAAGAGGTTGTTGTTCGGTTGTCGTTTCTGTTCAAGTGCGATCAGGAAGTTGGGGTCCGGCCTGTCGGAAGGAACGCGTCCTGGATGGGGGGTGAAATTCCCGGATGGGGGGGTGTACAGTGGTCAAGCTGCGAGGATCAGAGATTATTTCCGTTCGAACTTGCTGCATTTCCTGCTGAAAATTCATTATAAATTACAGATGTCAGAAGAGTCCCTCACAAAAAAAGAGCATCAGAAGCATGTACATGGTGTCAGATTTTAATACCATTGTAAAACAATGTTTAAGCACCAAACAAACTCCTGGACACACCGTTGTCTTTGTTTCGCTATTGTTTCACCCGCTATGCTGGAAGAACTAAACAAATGAACAGAATCAATTAAAACTTGTTGTTGGCCTAGTTTGTTCATGATGCAGTATAGAGGTTTTTTTGCGCGCCACAGGGGACAATTACAAGCGAGTAGACACGGACAAGCGCTTGTCCATGTCTACTCGCTTGTAATTGTCCCCTGTGTCGCGCAAAAAACCTCTATACTGCAAATGAACGGAAGGACGGTAAAGGTTGCGTGCCTCATCATCCGTCCCCGTGATAAGTTGTTCGCTGCGTTTCATACCAGAAACCCATCCACTGCGCAACTTCAGTCTATGGTTTTGTCTTTTAATTCATTGATGACCGATGTGAACACAATAATCGACGAATCGCTGGTATTGGAAATGTTCTATCAGTGCGTTCTAGGAGTGTACGATGGTGTGCGCATATATAATCTCACTGCGCCGAACCTTCTGTATAGATGTCACTACATGTTAATTTAATCCGAAGATAATCTGCTTCTAGATGCGTTAGTGGGCCAGTTTAGACAGTGAATTGCATCTGCAAACCTGCGTCACCTGACAGTGACTATTAGGAAAAATTATTACAAACAATCCGTTCAAATCAAAATGATGAGAAGTGTGAGCCCGACCCTTATAGGACAGCTGCGCAAATTTTCACTTCCCATTGTGGCGCCCGAACACAATTGCTGGAAAGGACTCAAAACACGTTTAAAAAGAGTCGGCGGGTCTGTCAAGGCCATGCTTCAATTGACAAAATATTTATTTCATGCAGGCGCGTACGCCGAATACACGTGCTCGAATCCCTGTTGCCGAAAACTAAGTTGTTTGTGAACAAGTCGCGGCTTGAATGGTTTGCGTGATTTCTCAGAAACCACGCAAACCATTCACCAACCAACCAGGCAACTGGCCCACATTGACATATTAAAGTCTCTCAGAAAGCTTGTTCTGTTTTGTAAGTGAACCAAATGTGGTCATTGGTCACGCTATAGACATTCACAGTTCAAGAAACGCCGGACGCGACCAATTATAATTACTACTCTTACCATGCGGTTCGTTCTTAGGCCCTCTTATTGGTTGACGCGGCAATCTCTATGGCCGTGAAGCGATAATAAGATGCTGGGAACTTGTCAGGCCTTGCGCTTCTTAATGTGTCTGTGACCTTTGGGAATAAAAGCTCACCATAAATTGCAGAAACTTGCAAAACCTTCATCTTTTTTTTTAATGTTCCGCCATGAGGGATGTTTAAACATGACCTCATTTAATCTTAAAGGATGTGAGTTGTTTCTTCTTCTTTTTTTATTTAGTTACGTATAAAAGTTCCTGTTTAGGTCAACGTCTGCGTCTCTTTCTTTATTTTATATGTTTTTATTTTTGATCATCTCAAAGAAGTGTTTAGCCCCAAAAAGCGTCGGCCGGTTACTACATCGCCGCGCTGCGGCACACGCGAGTCCGGCGTAAGATCAGAGTACAACTCCGAACCAAAAAAAAGAAAAAGAAAACGTTTGTCCGTATTTTTCTTGTGTGTGCTTCGCACCTTCCCATCTCTGCAAACCATCTTCTCTCCATTCATAGCTTTGAACGTTCCGTTTTCTTTTTTGTCTTTTTTCCCCCGGGGAGTTTCCAAGAAACAAGAGTCCAAACGACCCAGTTCGTGCAACGAGACAAAAAAGCACTGCTTACAAAAGATAAGGATGCGACCACAGCAGAGGCATGAGGAACACTGCACTGCTTACGCCACCAAAAAGTCGTTGTAATCCACACTGTAAGGAGTCGTTTTATTCTCTTCGATATTTTGTATTTACGTGATCTTTTCTTCTTTTTTTTTTCAATCCTTCGTTGTCTTCTTTTTTCTTTTTTTTTATTATAACCGCCGGAGTTATTTTACTTTTGTTTTTCTTTTATTTGTTCCTGTTAGTTCAAAACCGTGTCGCCACACTTACTGAGCAGAAAGAAATCGCAGACACGAATGTGTCCAATCGTGGGAAAGCAGAAAAGTGGCGTGGGACACCGATAAATGTTCGTTCCCTTTCGCTGGGTCCTTAGGCTTTTCCGAGACTTTTTCTCGTTCCCTCTCTTTGCATTAATAGATGTAAAATAGAGCTAGTACAATCGCCGACAACTTCGAAAACGCACGACGTTGCGAGTTCTGGAAATATCATTTTCGACCAGCAGCCGATGAGGTTGGGGTATTAGCCGATAGGAATGCCAAAGATCCAATCATAAAGCAAGAAGCATTAACATAATTGGCCACGCCACGGATTTCTTAATCTGTCAGTGGCTACAGTATTTGACGGATTTAGTCAACTGAAGAATGTCAAACGGAGGTTAGGGTTTTGCGCATACATAGTGGGATGTTCTTAACCATGAACGTCGATCGGTTTTTTCTAGGATTCCTTACATCAAACGAAGGAAAAGAAGAAGCAGAAAGCGGTCCTGTGTGTCTCGTTTTAACTCATTAAGAAACCACGATAAGTTTTTAATCGTCCTGGAATGACGGGAGAGATGTGCCGTGAACTCTGAGATGTAGAACAAAACGACTTTGTTGTTGGCAGTTGTATGGAACATTTTGAGAAACCCTCATTTCGACAAACCCTGCTGCTAGGTGGCGTGGGACATCAATAAGCTTTTGTTACATTCCAGTGATTTTTTTTTCTTACTTTCCCAAAAACTTTATTTATAACTAAAAGACGTTAGGTCGAGATAGTGGTCCCTAACGCATTTAGTCAACCAAAGGATGTCAAACAGAACTCGGGTGTTGCGCATACCTAGTGGGGTTGATGGGTTTTCTCAAAGGCTCATTAGGTTAGATAGTAAAAAAACAGATTTCTTGAGTATCTAGTTCAGACTGCTGGCTTCAGAAACGACAATAAATTTTAATCATCTTGGAATGCCACCAGTAGTATTTCATGAATGCTTAGTTGTAAAAAAAAATGCTATATATGTTCTGGAATACATCTCGAGTAATACAATACACAAGGGTTCTGATTATTTCATACTTTTAAAAAGACACCATTTCATCGTAAGACGCTTTGCGTGCAAAAACAAAAAGGCCATTCGTGGACAACAAAAAACAAAAAAAAAAAGTTTTTTTTTGTAACCCAGTCAGTAGCGTGTCTGGCCCGCAACCGAAGGGTGGGGTGGTTCGAATTTCTCCCAAAAATCTTCCGATCTTTCTTTAAGGCAAAATAATTATTTTATAGAGTGAAATCGTTTAGGACATGCGGCGGCCTTTACTTTCTATTACACGTCATGTTTTTTTAACCACTTTCATTCGACGTGTGACGCCATGTTTCACGTTAGCGTTGTGTTTTTTTTTGTTTTTTTTTTTTATTTCCACGCGAGGTCATGTGTCTGCAACATCATCACCCTATCGACCAATGAGGATTTTCGCGGCCCCCCACCGACGCCGGATATTTTGCGACAGGAGCTCCTTAACACTATCGCGTTAATAACAATCTTGGTAACGTAAGACAGTCACATAAAAACACAAAGAGCAGCCCAAAATAACACGAGCACATATTTAAAAAGAAATTAAAGTTAAAAATTAAGAAAATTTAAACGAGTTTGCAAATCGTCAATCTGATCCAGAACCACCTCAATAAATGTAGAGAAACCTCAAGGGCAGTCAATGTTGAAACAACCGATTCCTGCAAAAAGCGAAAAGAAAGCATTTGGAAAGTTCCCTAAAAATACATATTATTTCAGTCATCCGTAAGTCAGTCATTGAAACTTTTAATCACATCAGGAATCGTCGACGCTTCAGGCATCATCAGACATCACCAGACACATCACCATCTAACGACAGAGTTAAAACAATCATGCAAAGATGACATGCAAATATATAAACGTAGGTCATCTGGCCCAACTCGCAAAGCTGACTCAGAATAAGTGAAAGTTTTAATGAGCCATATACAGCCTCTCCCCCTACACCCCCCCCCCCCCGCCCCCAATAAACCCCCCCAAAAAAGTTTTTTTTTTTTTTTTTGGTGGGGGGGGGGGGGGGGGAATAGCGCGTTTTTGAACGCTCATTTTCTGCCCAAAACGTAGTACTAGCGGTCCGAATCAGATTTTCAAAGTTTCAGCACTAACCGCTACCTTAATCAAATGTTATAAGAAATTTTCTGAAAATTTCAATGGAAAAATGGGTCCTATTTTCACCCGATTTCGGTTACGGACGACATAGAGCTCAGCGTATTCGAGAGAGCTCCGTCGTCCGCCATTTCCCATTGAAAATTTCAGAAAGGTCATTCATAACCATTGAATAAAATTACGGTTAGTGCTGAAACTTTGGCATCTGGGTCGTACCGTTGGCGCAACATTTGGGCGCAGAATGAACCTTCGGTAATGCGTAGCTTATTTTACCGATGTAGAGAAAACAATTTGTCTTTTTTTGTTTGTTGTTGTTGTTGTTGTTTTTGTTGTTTTGTTGTT